ATTTTTAGATATTAGGATTTAAATTATATGAAAACAATTGTGTAAATTATATTTTGATATTAGAATTTAAATTATTAAAAAAATAAAAATTATCTTTTGATATTTATATATATATGGTTTTATTTAAACATCCTATGACTGAGTTGATAATTAAATGTTAGATTAAAATCATATCACAAATAATATTATATTTAAATGATACTCCCTCCGTTTCACTTTGTAAGTGCCATATGGAATCAATTACAAAAAATAAGAGAATGAATAATATTTGGAATCTTACATTTTAGTACAAAAATTGCTTAATTAGTTCTATCTTATTAAATATTCTGATTTTTTTCTTTGGAAAGCATCAATTACAATGCTTGTTTAAGGTGAGGAATATCAATCAAATGCCATGTCATCAATCCACTAAGTGGATTGATGACCAATCAAAATTTTTAATTACTGCCATGTCATCAATCCACTAATGGGATTAGAAATTATAAGACCGGATTAGGAAACTAAAATAACATAAAAAAAAAAAAAAATAGATTCAATATGGATAGATCATTTTGAAACGCCCAAAATAGTATATGAGACTAACATTATGAAACGAAGGGAGTAAATGAATACAATAAAGTTAGATACTAACCATTATAAGACAAAGTTTGATAGTGTTTAGGATAAAATTAATAAAAATTGTTACTTAATTATAATTAAACTAAAATTTGTGATACCTACCTTTATAAATTGACGTATTATACGACACCAACTAAATTTCAAATGAATACAAAATCAAATCAAAAAAATTTTGTGTTAGTAATTTTGTATCAGTTTTAGATCATTAACGGTTGGTAATTCTTAGCTTAATTTTCAAATTCATATTTAAATTTTTATTTGCCATTTTCCATTACTAATTATATTGTATTTATTAACGTATTTAACGATAATATGTTTATGGTTTGTTTATTAAATTTGTTTTTACATACAAATCTAATTTGATTAAAGAATTAAATTTGAGCAAAAGTGATTAGAAAATCAAAGTGCGAGTTTCTAACCTATTTGACGCACAAACTTCCTCAAACAATATAGCTTAATAAGATAGGATATGGTCTTATTAGACGAGGAGGTATTATATTTTTATAAATTGTTAGTGTTCATTAAATTTGTTTATAAACCTTTGTAGTTTTTTTATTAATTAAATTCATGGAAAAAAACACAAACTTTGTGATTTGTGTGCTTAATTAAGTTATTAAATAAACTTAATTTCTTATTTTTAATTACAGTGTGATTAAGTTCATGCCTCAATTAAAGACAACTTTGTTCAACACTTTCGTAGTTTCGTCCAATTGATTGAAGGAAAAATTTACTCCATTAGATACTTTTCCGTCAATCTATCTAAATAATAAATAATATCGCGTTGTCAACAAAATTATAATTCAATTTTTCCAAAATAGTTTTTTGGGTGATTGGGGATGATAGGAAAAAATTCCAATGCATGGATTTGATTTTGTACAATTATAATTTTTAGATCAATTTCGTAATGATTTTTCTCTTCCTGGTAAACATATTAATTTATTTTATAAAATTGTAAAGATTAATTTTATATCAACTTTGCTTTTGCTAACATATTTGTGCTCTATTTATCCACTTTTGTTAGATGTAGTAGGTATGGTTGTGAACGAAGTTGACGATTCGATGATTAAATAATATACATGTTTTTTTTATTATTATTTATTTAAAAATACTACTTACCTATATTTAAAGCAGACATTTTTTTAAAAACATTTAGCGCGCCACATAAGCAAAGGTATTAATATTATTTTGATCAATTAAAAATTAGAATAAAAAAATCACTTACCATCCAAGCAAAAGTGACGTATGAGATAGATTTAAGAATTTGGCCACATAGATAGTTAAAAACATCAAATATATTTAAAAATTAAAAAATGTCTATTTTTTAAAAGAACTAAAATATATCTTTAAAAATTAAAATTTTAAATATTTAAAAACTAAAATTATACAAATTTATATGTGAAAAAAATAATTATAGAATGAGATTTGATCTATCTAATTTTACACGCCAATTAGGTTAAAATAAATCTATAAATAGTGATTTAGCATTTAAATTATTTTTAAAATTTTAAAAAAAATCATCTTTTCACATTAAATTTTTTATCCTATTAATCATCCTGTTAATCACCACATGAGCTAAGACTTGGGAGTTTTAAATTATTTAAAAACAAAAAAAAATCACACAAGCATAATAAATTATCTAAAATTAAGAGAACTTATCTTTAACAAATAATAATAAATTAATCAAAATTTATACAAAAATTTTATATTCGTGATATTTATTTTAAAAAATCATGCATCGCACAGATTTACATCTAGTACTATAATAATCTTGGATAAAATATTATTCTAATATAGTGCGTGATATATGTTAGTATTATTTTTTTTGAAAAAAATAATTACCTATTATAGTACATAAAAAATGTGAAAATATTCTAATTTTTTTTAATAAGAAAAATATTCTAGTAAAGTGTATATAACTTAAATATGATTTTCAAAATAGAAATTAGAAAGAAAATATTGTAGTTTATAATGGCATGAAAATTTGACCAAAAAAGAAAATGAAAAAAGACAGAAATTTTTAATATGGATATAACACGTGTTTAAGTTAAAGATATGGCATAATAATATATCTAATATACGAAATGTGAGGTAATAGATATGACAAATATGTTATTTAATGAAAATGGAAAATACGTCAATCAAAATTACTCCCTCCGTGTTTTAATAAGTGTTACACTTACCAAATCCGGCCGTGTTTTAATAAGTATTACACTTCCTTTTTTGGCAAAAATCTACATTAAAATATTATATCTCTCTCATCTCATGGCCCCCACCCAAGCCCACTACTACTTTTTTATAATATTTTCCCTCTCATATTTATAAATTTTTAATAAACTATTAACCCCACCATCTTTCTTTTACAATTTTTTAATACTCCAACTACCCCCACTAACCTCTTATTTTATTTAAGTCAATTAAATTGTCTAAAATTATGTGTCGGTCAAATTGTAACACTTAAAAAAACACGGAGGGAGTATCACAATTATATGATTTGGTAGATAGATATATTGTGTATAGTTTACAATAAGTATTTAATAGCATTAGTAAAAAAAAACAAAAGGTTCTGGAGGGATGAAACATGACCAAAAAGTGACGGGTGTCTGTTTTAGTATTATATACCCTACATATTTTATTATTTGCTTCATTTCTCCAAAAAGTAATAAAATTTGAAAAAAGTGGGGTTAGTATAAAAATAAAGTATTATAGTTTGGAGGAAAGAGAATATAAGTTTGATAGTTGGAGGCCCACTAAAAAAGAATTAATTAGTAAAATATTGTATAAGGTTTCCAGGCCAAAAATAGGAAATGTAGCAATTAATTAGATACAACCGTAAAAGGAAAGTGGAGCAAGTAATAAAATACGGAGGGATTATATAGATAGGTATTTTCTTCCATTGTATTTGTGTGATGAAATGGAAATAGATAGTTAAAATAAATATACCGCACGCATCGCAATATAAAGGGCTAGTAATTAGTTATTAATCAATCCTTTTATATATTAAAAAGCGCTTATTAAACTATACATTACTTATAAAAGGAAAATGCTATACATAGCCCTTAGGGTTACATATAAGCATTAAATATACTCTAGAATATTGTTTTAATTTAGAAAATCATGACAAAAATACACTAATTACACTGATCTACGCGTGTTTTGTCATGAATTCTCAATTTTATACAATTTTCTAGAATATATTTAATGCTTATATGTAGTCCTATGGGCTATATATAACATTACCATTAAAAAAAAAAAAAAGCATTCCTAAAAACGTTTATATGCCTAATAAATATGCACTAGTATTGTGCCACGTCACCACTGACATTGCAACAATTATTTTATTGTGCCACATCACCACTGACATTGCAACATTAAGAAAAACATACCGCAAGTTTCGAACGTTGAAACTTATGGATTTAAGATCACACTTACTACCATCTTAGCCAATAGTAATTAATGTTCTAAATATACACATAAATAAATACGGAGTATATCTTTATGAAAGCTCAAAAAAAGGATTAAATAATTATGTTCACTTTCAAGACAACATAGAGTCTATTAAATCCTCTTCTCCTTTCTTTTTTTTTTTCTTTTTTATTTTTTTTAATTTTGTTTTTACAGATCAGGTTTACTTCACCTTAAAAATATTATTAAGTAAAAATAATTTCAATTCAGTAAAAATAAGTTCAGTTCACTGAAATTAATTTTAATCCAATAAAATATTAAAATAAGTTTAGTTCAGGAAAAATTAGTCTCTTCAATAAAAAATAAAGAGTCAGTAAATATTATTTTAGTTTAGTAAAAATTTAAGTTCAACAAAATGAATTTCAGTCAATAAAAATAGTTTAAGTTCAACAAAAAATAAGGTGAAATGAACAAGCCTAACATACATTATAATTTAAAGTAACAACCCGATGCAACGTCCGAGCCACACACTTGTTTAATAATTATATAAAAGCAAGAAACTTTTTTTCGTTTTTTTTTTTTTTGAAAGGCAGCAAGAAACTTTTTTTCATGATACATTATTTGCCATTTTAATTAATCAAATTTCGTACCACAATATAAATGTGTTCAATCTATGATAACATGCCTTGGGCAAAATTACTTGATAATCATTTGGATTTCTGTCGAACTCAAAGCATTTTGCGTGAGACTGGACTCACGTGAGTCCGGGCTCCTTAATTAAAAAGCCGAGGGCCTGATCAACCCGACCAAAGCCCGCGCGCCATTTTATAAATTGTCTGAATTTTTTCGTTTTCATCATTTTCATAAAATTTCGAGCGCCGTCATTCACTGAAATTTTCGAACGCTTTCATTTCATCGAATTTCAACCACTTCATTTCCTCAAATTTCAGAGAATTCAAATCTTCAAATTTCATAAAAACATGGAGAAATCAAACAATAGAATGATGATTGAAGGAGATTCTGATTCACCTATAGAATTAATTTCTAGCTCAATTACTGCTGAAAAAGGTACAATTTAGTTCATAATTATGATTGTATGTAATTTCAAATCATATATAATTAATTTCAAATTACATATAATTTAGTTCATGATTTCAGATTGTATCATAGTGAATTTGAAATATGAATTTCGACTTATAATTCGCATGCAAGCCAAATTGAATTTCAGATCGTATTAAATTTCGATTTAATATCAGATCGTATTTAAATTCGAGTTAATTCGACTTATTATTTGCAATCAACGCCAATTGAATTTCAGATCGTAGTTAATTTCGACTTATAATTTGAAATAAGTTCTAATTTATATTCCAATCGCATTTTATTTCGACTAATCATTTTGAAATCAAGTCTACTCCAGTTTTCGATCGTATTTAATTTCAACTTATGATTTGCATGCAAAGCTATTTTAATGTGTAATTCCAATTGTATATGTTACATGTCGCAGAAAATTAATTTTAATTTGAATCCATTTTTTTTTATCATTTCAGAGTGAAATTCAAATATACTAACACTAATGATGAATGCAACAGATAATGTTATTTTAGAAGAAAATATCAATGAAGAAAGAGATGATGCGGAAAGAGATGAAGATGCTGCAAGTATAATAGGTATACTGATAATTAAATGTTCTGTAAAATTATTAATACTCTGTAATTTATTGATGTAATTGCAGACAATATAATTCCTGATTAATAAAACCTATTTCCTAAACAAAATTATATGGTAATTAGTGAAAATAATCTAATTCCTGACAATTTCAAAATATTTCTAACTGGATTAAAAAATCTAGTATTCCTGCCTGACTATTATTATTTTAAACCTGACTATTATTATTTTAAAACTGACTATCATTATCTATTTCCTGACTAATATTGTTTCTTTTCTTTTCAATTCCTATAATTTCTAATCATCATTATCTATTTCCTGACTAAGATAGTATATTTCATGACTAATATATTGTAATTTCTGACCAGAAAAAAATTCCTGACTTGGTAAAAAATCAAATTCCTGTATGCTATAATATATCTGAATATTATTATCCTAAAACTGACTATCAATATCTGTTTTCTTACCAGCACTATCTAATTCCTGACTAAGATACGCTAATTCCTGAGTATTATAAATTTTAAAACATTTAATTACTGTATATGATATTGATATTACAATTCCTGACTATTATTATCTGTTTCCTGACTAATATTATCTTAAACCTGATTGAGTTAATTTTATTCCTGAATAATATATCATAATACCTGATCTAAAAAATCTAATTCCTGATTAAGATATGCTAATTCCTGAGCATTATAAATTTCAAAAAACATTTAATTACTTTATAACGTCATACAAAACAAAAAATATAATAACATCAATTAAATTTTCAAAAATTACATATTACTGAAATGTTATTTAATTATAATAAAGTACAAAACATTGAAAATAAGCTACTGATATCATCCTCAATTTTAATTCTTTTTGCCTCTCTGCTTGGTTGGCTTGCCTCTTCTCTTTTTCTCTTTCTTTTGCTGGCTTCTTCTTCAGCAAAAATTAAACGTAATCCATTAAGAAATTCAGCCCAGTCTTGCACCATGCCATTGTGAAAACCATAACCATTATGCCTCATAATGTCATATGCAACCCACCATTCATTTGAATTATGATTTCTTCTTACTGTTTCTGGAATCGAATATTTATAATACCATAATTCATTATAATATTTACACGTGCAATTAATCATCCCCTGGGCTTTGAAGGTGCACCTAGGGAAAATATGCATGCACAATATTTCTTCAATTGCAAGTGCTGGATGTGCATCTTCTAAGGCATCAATTGGGTGTGCAATTTGATTATCCATCTAAACAAAACAAAATATAAACATAAATCATAACAAAACACAATAAAACAACACTAACAAATTTATGATAATAATACGAAAAAAATATACCTTTTGTAATAGCAGTAGTTATATTCTTATAAAATTAATTAAAATTTCTAAGTGCAGCAATTTATAGTTTTATATGGATTTTTTTTTCTGAATATAGTTTGTTGTACACTGTGGTTTCTTATATATAATGTTTAGATTGTGAATTGATGCAGTGTTTTGGAAGAGGGAAGGTCATGCCTTTTCAAATATGTCTTTTCATTTATAATTAACCTCTGTTCTAGTAAATTCATTTCATTTTATTCAATTAATTTTATGTCTGGTAAATGATTTTAAGTGTTTTTTAAGTTTTTATGTTTTGGAAGAGGGAAGGTCATGACTTTTTAAATTCTAATTATTGTATGCAATAATCTAACTGACTATTTTTTATCTTAAACCTGACCATATCATTTATGTCCTGAGTAATTTATTATCTATTTTTCTGACTGAGATAACTTTATTCCTGACTATTATAATCTAATTTCTGATTCAAACAATTTTTTGACTATTTTTTGAGTAATATTTTGACTATTTTTTGTGACTGAAATTAGATTAATAAAATTGTTTCAATTTAATTTCTGATTGAAACAATTTTATTCCTGAAATATACTATCTAATTCCTGATATATTCAAATTAATTCCTAATCAAAATATTTTAATACCTGACATACAGAATTTAATTCCTGACAAAACAAAACTAATAAATGACATAAATAATCTAATTCCTGAAAAAATAATGAACATATTATAATCAGATACAAATATTATTATTTCTGACTGATAGAATTTTATGGAAATTTTGACTTTTACCACCAAAAAAATCGAAAAATTGTTTTTTACCACCAAAACTTCTAAAACTTTTATTTTTCCACCAAAAAAATTTCTAAAAATTGTTTTTTACCACCAAACGTCAAGAAAACCGTTAACTCTAACGGCTTAAAAAAATTTCCTTCGAATTTTGTGCGCAAAATATGTTTTTCATAGGTTTAGGGGGGGCACTTTGGTCCTTTGGACTCAATTTGAGGTCAGAATTGACAAAAAATGATCGGAAATGCCTCGTTTTGCGTGTTCACGCAAATCGAGGTTTTTTAAACACGCAAAACGAGACATTTCCGATCATTTTTTTGCCAATTCTGACCTCAAATTGAGCCCAAAGGGCCAAAGTGCCGCCCAAAACCCCTAAAGGACATGTGTTTAACACAAAAATCGAAGAATTTAAAAAATTCCGTTAGGTTTTTGACGACAGGTGGTAAAAAACAACTTTTAATTTTTTGTTTGGTGGTAAAATAAAAGTTTTAGAAGTTTTGGTGGTAAAAAACATTTTTTTGATTTTTTTTGGTGGTAAAAGTCAAAAAATCCTAATTTTATTCCTGACCAATATTATCTGTTTCCTGATTAATATAATCCTAAACCAAACTGAGATGATTTATTTCCTGACTAGTATTTAGTAATTCCTGATTTAAATAATGTAATTCCTGAGTAAGACATGGTAATTCTTAAGTATTATAAATTTAAAAAATATTTATTTACTGTGTATAATATTGTATTTCCTGACAAAAATAAATTATGATATGATTCATATATACTTTTGTTGCAGATTATTACAAATATGAAAAGGATGAAAACATAAGTAAATGTCTAGCAGGTTATACAGTATCAGACTACAATGAGGGATATGTGTTATACAAAGCTCATTCAAGGTCTGTTAGTTTCAGTGTCAGAAAATCAACAAAGAGAAGAGATACCAATAATAAATTGTATGAGTTTTATTTTAGATGTTCTAAGGAAGGACATACAAAGGGTAAAATGAAGATAGCAGGTGAACAAAATTCAGTGGAAATACCCATGTTGGGTAAAACTGATGAAAAAAAAAGAGAAAAGATAGGGAGGTAAATGAGACAAGAACTGGATGCAAAGCTCATATTCGTTTCAAGAAAAATAAAGAAGGAAATTTCGAAGCTGTTACACATGAGTTGGAGCATAATCATGAATTGGTTATAGCAGTTCAACGACATCATCTAAGATCAGAAAGGCAAATATCAGCACCAATGGGTGAGCTAATTGAGAGTATGGTTGAAAGTGGTATCAAACCAATGGATGCTTACAATTATATCACCAATGAAGCTAGAGGAGAAGAATGTGTAGGTCATACTAAGAGAGACCACCTTAACTATGTATCAAGGGTGAAAATGAGTATGGTTGAAGGTGGAGACATGCAGAATGTATTAGATACCCTTCAAGAGAGAGCAGATAATGATCCTTCATTCTTTTATAGACTGAAATTTGGAGAAGAAAACAATGTGGTGAGCTATTTTTGGCGTGACCCTCAAATGCTTGAAGATTTCAAAGCCTATGGGGATGTTTTAATCTTTGATACAACATACAGAACCAACAAATATGGGTTGATATGTGCACCATTTGTTGGTATAAACTGTCACTGGAGAACAACAATGTTTGGATGTGCATTCATAAGTGATGAAAAGACTGAGACATTTGTTTGGCTTCTTAAAATTTTCAAAAAGTCAATGTGTGGAATTGAACCAAAATCAATCTTCACTGATCAGGATCTTGCAATGAGTAACGCCACACCAGAGGTAAGAATTTTTGTCTTCATAATATATTGTTTCCTGATTAGAATAACTTAATAACTGATAAAAATAGATCAATACCTGACAGAAATTATCTAATTCCTGATAAATATCTTAAACCTGTTTTAATTTTTCTAAGAACTATTTAATTCTTGAATAATAATATATGTTTCAGGTTCATAATTTAATGTAATATAATTCCTGATAAAAAATATATTAATTCTGATAAAAAAAAAGGCAATACCTGACTAAGATATATTAATAAGTTCAAATTATTTAATACTAATTGACAAAATCTTATTCATGATAGCAAGATCCTTAATCCTGATATAAGTATTCTAATACCTGATCAAAATTAAGTCATTACTAATTAAAAATGTATTTAATTTAATTCTAATTTAATTTCTGAGCAAAATGTTATAATTACTGAGTAAAATATTCTTATTCCTTTTTATTTATACAACTTCTAACTTGAACAATTATTCCTGATTGTGATAATTTATTTTATTTCTGAAATAAATAACGAATACATAACAAATTAAATCAAATTCCTGACTAAAATAATATAATTCCTGACGAAAAATTATTAATTCAATAAAAAAAACCAATATCTGAATAAAAACCAACAAAACCATATCATTTTAAACCATATCTGAATAAAGCTTTTGATAATAAAAACAGCAAATACAGAAACATAAACATAAAAGCATATCATATTTTCCATATATTTTAATGATATTGATTGTGATTAGAAGTTAACAAAAAAAAAAAAGATAAAGAAAAAAACCCTGAAATCATAATCTTCTTGTTGTTCTTCTTCAGATTTTAAACTTGTTTTTTCTTTTGATCTTCTTTTTGTTCTTTCTCTTCCATCTTGTGTTGATCTTCTTCTTTCTGCTTTTTGTTCTGTGTTTCCTGCCATATCTCTTGTGCTCTCTTTCTCTTGCTTAGTTCTTCGATTTCATTCTTTTCCACTTTTTCATAGAGCTTCATCAGTCCATTCTTCACTCTATCTCTTCTATCCAACAGATCATTTAATTTTTTTTCAAAGTTATCAATTGCATTTTCTTCTGGATCGTTTGATGAGGTAGAAGACTGAGAATTGTTTTGCATATTTGAGAAATATTGAGGATCGTTTGATGAAGTAGAAGACTGAGAATTGTTTTGCATTTTTGAGGAATATTGAAAAAAAGTTTATTTTAGGAGAGAGAATATACCAAGTACAAAAACATGCAAAATGTATGAGTAAATATTAGTTTTATAGACAAATAAAAAATATTAAAAAAAATACTTTTTAAATATATTTCTTTTTCTTATTATTACATTTTTTTGGTCCTTATCCAGTACCTCAAGTACAATTCTGATTATTACATTTTTTTAGTCCTTATCCAAAACTCCAAGTGAACTCTAAGACTATTAATTCCTGACCAAAATATACTAATACCTTTCATAATTTATCTAAAATCAGACCAAAATATGCTAATTCCTGATGATAATAAACATATTTCAAGATATATTCTGATATGCATTTCTTCTTGTTTGTGGGTGATGACTTATTCCAAGACACCTTGTAACCTACAGTAACAAATAAAAGATGTTAGTTTATGCAACAATATCCAACAAAACATAAATTATTCACATCTTAGTCATGCAGACCTGTTCATTGTGGTGGTTGGGCACCATAATGAGGATAACCAGGGGGTGGCCAAGTCCCATTTTGCTTCATCCTGTACTCAATGATACAGTCAGCCAAAAAACCGGGGTCATCTGTGCTCCCTACATGTATGTTATATATGTTCTGATTAGGTAACCTCCTAATCATCTTGAATACATCACCATCATCCTCTAAGGTCCTATACTTCCCCTTATAAATATACTAAAATACAGGGTACAAAAGGTCAATTGATCCTTCTACTGGATCATCCATATCACGAAGTTGATCTTCAAATGCAATTGTTATATCTTGCAAGTTATTTTTGCCAATCTCATATTCAATATCAATTACAACACTCAAATACTTAAATATGAGAATCACCTTATTCTCCTCCATTTCTGACACAACAATTCCAACAATAAATAAATAACAACACATAAAAACAGGATCCAATAAATGTTCAGAAAAAATATTTTAAAATTATTTTTGTAGAAAAAGAGGTTACCTGAAACGAAATGAGTGATTTATAAAACTCTAGAATAAGTTTTTCTTTGTTGCTTCTACAGTTACAATTGAGCTCAAATATGTGGAATTTATGAAGAAATTGAAGTTGGGATGCCAAATTGAATTATAAAGGAAATGATTTATAAAAGGAAAAAAGTAACTGTTTTTTAGCCGTTTACTGGGGCCCAAATGGCAGAATTACAGTGGAAGATTAATTTGACTGATAAATATATAGATTCTAAGCTTCAATAAAAAGTCTAAAAATATTTAATTCCTGACCTAAAGATATTTATACCTGACTTAAATTATCTAATATCTGACTAAAATATGCTAATTTCTAACTCTAATATTGTTATGCCTGATAAAAATATACAAATGTCTTACATAATTTATCTAATTCCTGACTAAAATATTTTAATTCCTGACTGAATGTTTTTAATTCCTGATTATAATAATCATATTGCTAATTTCTAACTCTAATATTGTTATGCCTGAGAAAAATATACATATGTCTTACATAATTTATCTAATTCCTGACTAAATTTTTTTAATTCCTGACTAAATGTTTTTAATTCCTGATTATAATAATCATATTGCTAATTTCTAACTCTAATATTGTTATGCTTGAGAAAAATATACAAATATCTTACATAATTTATCTAATTCCTGACTAAAATATTTTAATTCCTGATTATAGTAATCATATTGCTGACTAAAGTAATTTATTTTTTGTTGCAGGTTTATCCAAATTCAAGACATAGGCTATGTCTATGGCATTTGCAAAAGAATTTTGTGTCACACTTTGGAACTCTAAAAACCAATCCTAAATTCAAAAATATGTTTCACAAATGCTTAAGTGGATGTGATTCTGAATCTGACTTTGAAGATTGTTGGCACAAGATGGTTCAAAAACATGGTTTAGAGAAAAAAGAATGGTTTGACAGGTTATACGGTCTACGAGATAAATGGTGCACAGCATTGAGCAAGGATATTTTCTCAGCTGGAATTCTTTCATCTCAAAGGGTAGAAGTAACAAACAGAGCAATTTCATTTAAGGCCAACAAAACCACTAAGCTTTTGGAGTTCTTTCACATATTTGAAGCTACTGTGAAAAGATGGAGAAGCACTGAAAAGAGTGACAACTTCAGATGTACTACTGAGAGACCAAGAACAACAACAAAGATATTAAAACATGCAGCTGAAGTTTATACTCTAAACTTATACAAGAATTTTAGGCTGGAATTTGAAACAAGTCTTGGAGCATATGCAAGAGAAAAAGCCACTTCAATGCAATATGTCAAATTCTTTGATGTTTCTCTTGATGAAGATTATTTGCACACCTATCAAGTCATATATTACACTCAAAACAATGAGTTTATGTGTTCTTGTATGTGCTTCACAGAGACTGGATTGCTGTGCTTTCACATTATCAAGATAATGCTAATGTACAACATACTTGCTATACCAGAGAGATACATTCTGAAACGTTGGACCAAGCTTGCTAAATGAAGCATATGAGATGGGAATGAATCAGGTACGTACATACTTTGTTATTTTAAAATTTATTACTTGTTTATTTAGTATAAAATAAAAATATCTTTATTCCTGAGCTAAATATTTTAATTACTGTCATAAATAATTTCCTGACATAGAAATATAACAGCTAACTTAAAGAGTATAATACCTGGCCTAGATAATCTAATTCCTGACCTCTATAATTTAATGCCTGATCTGAAAAATATAATACATGAAAAAGATAATATTATTTCTGATATATTCAATCTAATTTCTGATTGAAACAAGTTTATTCCTGAAATATACAATCTAATTCCTGATATATTCAAATTAATTCCTGATTAAAATTTTTTAATACCTGACATACATAGTTTAATTCCTGACAAAACAAATCTTAAAAATGACAAAGATAATCTTATATCTGATCCATTCAAACTAATTTCTGATTGAAACATTTTTATTCCTGAAATATACAATCTAATTCCTGATATAATCATATTAATTCCTAATCAAAAAATTTTAATACCTGACATACATAATTTAATTCCTGACAAAACAAATCTAATAAATGACAAAAATAATCTAATTCCTGAACATATTGAACAATGAACAACATATTATAATCTTATACCAATATTATTATTCATGAAAAACATATTTTAATATCTGATACATATATTATTATTTCTGATATAAAATCAGATTTATTCCAAACATAAACTTAATATTAAAAAACTTATACATTGGTACCATTTCCTGCTTCATTAGGAAGCCTTTCAGTACCATCAGCATTAAAAATTCTAATAAAATGGAATAATGATCATGGTAAACATCAAGTCTGTCTCCAGGAACTATGTTGTTCGCAGCTACAAAGTTTTCCCATTCACGATCAATCAACATACCACCACAACCTGTATCTTCTGGTATGCTTATGACTCTTACTTCCCAAAATCTATCTTCTCTGCCATTCTTCCCAGCAAAGACTCTAACAAAATTCTTGAATTTTAGAAGAAAAAACTTCCATTCTGCAGGAAGTGACTGAAATAAAAAAAAATGATATCATTAAATATTTACTAAAACACAAAACAAATTTATAAATTTAAAACTTAATGTAATATATTTACCATACTAACGCGATCAATTGGTTTGACAATAATAGTACACTTTTCCTTATTTGCGTGGAAATCAGCCATTATCTTCAAGATTTATTAGATGAAGAAAAATATAAGTTATTGTTACAAGAATGCACCTTTTATAGAACACAATAGAGGTTGTTATAATACAACTCTTTTAATAGAAAAAACTTGATTTAGAACAGCCTTTAAACAGAAAAAAGTTATGTATGAACAACAATAAATAATCTGTAATTTAACAGAAAAAATTATAACCTTAGTCAAATTTGAATGACTTTTTAATGATGCAATAAATTACTTTTTCTAGAATAGAATGACTTTTCAATGATGCAATAAATTACTTTTCAGATTTATAGAACTTTTTCATGACTTTATTCAGTTTTGTATGACTTTTTTCAGAAATGTAATAAATTATTTTTTCAGATTTGTATCAATTTTCAACAAAATAATTTTTCTTTTTGAAAAATTTGATATTTCTTCTGATAAATAAAATTTATCAGGAATAATATCAAAATACACAAGAATAAAATCAATTTTGTCATAAAACTTATGGCTGAAACAGAAAAAAAAAAATTATGGCATAGCTCATTGCTGACTTTTCTTACATTTTTCATGACATAAGTAATTTTATTTCTGTCATTATAATATTATTTTAACAGAAAATTATATCATTATTCATGAGCTGCATTCTTTTCTGAGTAAAATTGTCTTATTACTAACAAAAATTTAGTTATCTATTTTTTTTTTTATTAGGAAATTCAACTACAAATCATTCATTAATAAACACTCCTTGGAGGCAATCAATAACAAAGAATTTTTACAACCTTATGACAACATGTCAAGGGAATGAAGAAGCATCAAAAATATGTGATGATACTTTGGAACAAATGTACAAATCTGTAAGGAAAGTGTTCCGAACAAATGAAGAAAAAATTCGTGAACTTGATGAAGAAGAAGAAAGAAGAAATACAGTAAAAGATCCAAAACGACCAAAAACAAAGGGAAGGCCAAAGAAGAACAAAAGAATTAGAGGACATTTTGAAAGAAGAAGAACAACAACAAGAGATCCAAATGAGTTTGGAACAATAACTCCTAATCCACAACTCATTTAATTCATCCCTATTGCTGCCTTCTTCTATCATGAGGCCAATCTTCAAATTTTTTTTATTATTCAAAATAATTGTAAAAAATACTATATTTTGATATTTTAAATTTGGTATTTTGAGGTTTGATATATTTTTATTACTTCTGAAAAAAATTATTTTGTTTTCTGATTAGATCAATGTTATTCCTGACTAACCTTACTTTATTACTGACTTAAAAAATCTTATTGCTGACTAACTCAAGTTTATTCCTGACTAACACAATTTAATTCCTGACTGCCATGATCTTATTCCTGACTAAACTAATTTTATTCCTGATTTACACAATTTCATTCCTGACTTAAAAAATCTTATTGCTGACTAACTCAAGTTTATTCCTGACTATTACAATTTAATTTCTGACTACCGAATGTTAATTCCTGACTTCCAGAATCTTATTCCTAACTAAACTAATTTTATTACTGACTAACACAATTTCATTCCTGACTTAAAAAATCTTATTGCTGACTAACTCAAGTTTATTCCTGACTTACACAATTTAATTCCTGATTATCGTAAAATAATAATTCCTGACTAACAAAATCTTATTCCTGACTAGATCAATTTTATTTCTGACTAACAAAATTTTATTCTTCACCAACAGAATTTAATTCCTAACATAAATAATGTAATTCCTGACAAGAGTAATTTAATTTATGACAAAAATATTCTTCATTTTAAATTTGATATTTTAAATTTTTAAAATTAACATTTGAAATTTATTTCTAACACAAGTATTTTAATATCTGACTAATATGATTTATTACTTGATATAATTATTTTTATTCCTGGTCAAATAAATTATTTTTTTATTACTGATGAAGGTAATTTAATTTCTGACATAAACAACATTAAAAATTGGAATTATTAAAGAAAACAAATTTAATAGAAAATATATACATATATAAACAAAATTTATATGTATCTATACAAAAGAAAACTAATATCTGACTACAAAAAATTTATATATATATATACATGTATGATTAATTGTTTAAAAAAAAAAGTCTAATTTTTGTCTTCATTTTGCTGGAGCTGTTGTTCAATTTCAAATTGCTGCTGCTGTTTTTCTTTTTGTTTTTGCTTCAACTTCCACAGCCTCTCTTTTTTCCTTCGAATGGCTTCCTTTTCTTTCTCATGTTGGGCCTCTAGCTTTTTTCTTGCAGGTTGAGCTTTCCAAATTTTGTGCTTATTAATTGAAAATTCAATGCAATCTTTCCACAATTGCTTCCGCAAAAAATTATCTTCTCTAGTAGCCAACTCATAAGCAAGTTTGCATCTATATATCTTCCGATTTTGCTTCTACAAATTTTATAAAAATACAAAATAAGAATACTAAAAAATAATAAGTATAAATCCAAAAACAAAAGAGAAAAAATACTTACATATTTCAAGTTAATAAGACCTCCAGCTACACCGTTGTATTTTTTCATACACATTAATGCAAAAAGCCCACAATCCTCATTTTCATGGGTTGTTTGCCATGTAAACTCAGGTTCATGCCATTCCAACTTTTCCAAATTTTTGTCACCTTGTGGATGTTCATGCTTTTTCAAAAAAATACCAACAGCTCTAATCTGTAATTATAAATATATAAATTATAAATTTATAAGCATCTAAAAGTATAATTTCCAATGAACATACTCACAAATTTAATTTAAAATATCTTACCAACACTCTGTCTATTCCATTTAATTTATCTCGATTAATATCAAACCAGTTATTTATCCAATCTATTCTTGGACCAATACCATCAATGAAATTGAAAACCAGCAGACTAAAATGATTATCGTACGCAATGGGAAAGATTAGCTGCAAAATAAATAAAACACAATAAGTAACACATTTATTAACTAACTAAAAGAAGCAAATATCAATCTAAAAGATCATAATATCTGAGTAAACATTTTTATTCCTGACTAACAAAATTTTATTACTGACTAACACAATTTTATTCCTGGCTAAAACAATATTATTCCTGACTAGAACAATTTAATTCCTTACTATACAATTTTATTCCTGACTAACACAATTTAATTCCTAACATAAATAAAGTAATTCCTGATAAAAGCAATTACATCACCATAAACCAAACAAAAAATAATATAAAATTAAACCTTGCAATAACAAGATAAAATCTGACTAATAAAAGCTTATAGCATACTATGTTTAGCTTATTCCTGAATATACAATATACAAAGAAGAAATAAAGTTAAAAATTTACCAAATTGGCTTCGGCTATGTTGATCGATGGAAAACGCCTAACCCACTTGCAAATGCTATCATAAATTTCCTCACCTTTATGTTGCTTCAATTGACAATCAAGCTCCATTTTTATCAAATCATCTTTAAACTTAGCATACTCTACTGGGTTATTTTTCAAAGTTTCCAAAATTTCCTCCTGTTTCTTTATTTTTTCAACTTCTTTTCTATAAATAGCTCTCTTTTCTAAGTATCTCCATGTAAGATTCTGCAAAACAAAAAAATATATTAAATATATTATGCTATAAATAAAATTTATTTCTGAATGAAGTAAAGAAAAAAAAAACTTACAGCAACTTTAGTTTGAAAAACAAATCTTTTATATTGAAAAACTCCTCTGTTAGTTATTTTACTCTCTTCAATGTTGAGCACAGTAGCCCAAGCATCATGAATAGCAGAATTAACCCACTCAGATGGACGTAGGGAGCAGAACTCCTCCTTAACCAAAATAAGATCA